CTAAAAGTATTTTATTTAGCATAATTCTCTTATGTGATTTGTTACACTTTTTTCTTTAATTATCAGAAAGAAAGAGAGAGAGAATCTCCAGAGAGTATAGTCATACCACAATCCCTTTTTCTCCATTTTTCCATCCAGTCAGGATTTGGGGCACACAGGCACCTATACCAGGCATGTTTTTCAATCCACTGAGACTGGGATTCAAACTGCAGTCAGACATCTGGGATCCAGGTCTCAATGCACTGCATTTAACCACAGCACTATGAAGCCAGCCCATATTATAATTATACTTTTTTTAAGTCTGTTCTTTGTTTTGGGTAACTGCGAATAGGCAAGAAATTCACCAAGAAATATACTGAAAATATTCCCTTCACTTTTTATGTGATTCATAATATTATTTTCCCCATCTAGCCATTCTATTGTCCACTCTGCCAATCCTCCCCATCTAGCCATTCTATTGTCCACTCTGCATTTATCTAGAGCAGATCTGAGATGTAAAAACCTGTGCTCTAGTGCTATTATAAGTGGAGTTTATGTGCTCCCACTTAACATTTGAAGGCTGATTTTATAAACTTGATTTTAGAATTTGAATTTATCTTTGTTAAGTTTCCTCTTGTTTTAGTCTATTGCTTCTGTTGTCCAACATGTTAATATTCTTCTGTTTCCTGCCATCTGAAAATCTGTTAAAAGTTATTTTTTTAAAAAATAGAACTCAGTTTCTTGTCTTACTAGAAAAAAACTTTTTTACATATATTGAGAACAAACACTATTTCTACTTTATGTAAAACATCTGCTCCCAACACTTGAGTTATCCACCTTTTAGTGGCACTCAATACATTGCATAATAAATGGTCTACTTTTATATACTTTATACTACATATTAAAGAATTGTGTGAGTAGTAGTAGCACATAGTCTAAAGAGTAAAGAATGTAAATTGATTTTTTTCTTCAGTTTTTGCTATAGGCTGTGTGTACTAACCAGAGAGAGAGAGAGAGAGAGAGAGAGAGAGAGAGAAATCTCTGGGGGAGGGCCACATCACAATCCCTTCTCCATTCTCTTCTTAGAAGTTTGAGCATGCATGCACATGCACCTGGCATGATCCTCAAGCTGCCAGGTCTGAGACTTGAACTGCAAAGTTGGCCATATGGGATCTAATGCCTTAACTCCCATGCTACCGCTGGCCCACAAATGGCACTTTTTAAAAAAGAGGTTTTTGCCTTAGGGTGCAGGCGCTCACCAGAGAAAGACAGACAGACAGACACAGCAAGAGGGCAAGTGAGAAATCACCTCCCAGGAATGATCCCTTCTCCTCCATTCTCCTCCTGGGATCTTGGCTATGCATGCACACATGCCCAGTATGAGTTTCAAGTCACTAGGTTGGGGACCCAAACTGTGGTCAGTCATGTGGCAGTCCTGTGATGTAACCACCGTGCTATCTGCTGGTCCACAAATGGCATTCTTACACATTTCTGGCAGAAGTAAAAAATGGCACGAATTCTTTAGAACACTATTTTCCAGGATCTAGTAAAGCTAAACTCACGTCTATTACTCAGCAGCTTCGTACCCCAGTGGTATGAGTACATACACCCACCAAAAGAAGGAAGGTAAGAAAATACCCCTTATAGGTATGGCCCTCTCTTCCTCTGTCTCTGTCTCTGTCTGTGTCTGGTGAGTTCATGCACTCTCTGGCAAGACTTTTTATAATGGGTGGGGAGTGTTTGTAGTCATGTGGCTCTAGTTATGAATTTTGAAAGCAGAACAGGGATCACAATGCTTATTTTATATGGCTAATGTGATAGAGATATTCAGGAAATATCTAGGTAAAGTCTGGCAGCTTTGATAGGACCAGCAATTTGTAGGTATATTAGGGGATTTCAAAAAATTTATAGAAAGAATGATCAAGAAAAGTTTGAAATCTTTGCAGGTTTTTCATATTACATAATTTGGTGAGATTTTTAAAGACCTTTTCATAGTAATATTCTCTAGATCAATGCCTCTCAAACTATAATATAGATGTATGTGTAGCATGTGAAAATCTTGGTCAAATGCTGATTTTGTAGGTCTGGGATGATTCCTGAAAAATCTGTATTTTTTTATAACTCTCAGAAAAATATTTGAATTTTCCAGTACTGTGTGTGGACCACTCTTGAGTAGCAATGGGAAAAAACGAGGATGAATGGAGTTTATCAATAGGGGAATAGTCTTAATCAAATCTATGTGGTTGTTTTGTAGTTTGCTAGAGGGTCCATGTACTCACCATAGACACACAAAGAAAGAGAGAGAGAGAAAGACAGAGAGACAGAGAAGGAAAGTAATAGAGTACTTCCCATGGGAGATAGTCATGCTGCAGTCCTTTCTGCTCCATTTCTCCTTCAGAGATTTCTGGGCACACACACACAGGTGCCCAGTATGGTTTTCAAGCCACAGTGTCCCTAACTCCAGTTACCCAGTCATGTAAGATCCAGCTGCCTTAACCACCACACTATCCATAGGCCCAAATCTATGTTTTTGTTTTGTTTTAATTTGTTTTAATGTGCTATAGAGGGACCAGCAGATGGTGTATGGCTACATCACTGGACTCCCACATAGTCAACCACAGTTTGAGTTCTGGACACCGCAGCTTAAAACTCACACAGGGTGCATGTGCATGCATGCCAAAAATCTCAAGAGGGGAATGGAGGAGAAGGGATTACAGCATGGCCACCCCCACGCCCTGGGAGGTGATTTCTCACTTTCTGTCTCTCTCTTTCTGTGTCTCTAGCAAGTACACACACCCTATAGCAAAAGTCTCTCAGAAATCAAACAAACAAAAAAATGTACTATAGAGTGTGTGCACTCACTGGAGACAAAAAGAAGGATGGGAGAGAAAGCAAGAAAGCAGCCCCCAGGCGATGACCACACTGCAATCCTTTCTCCTCCATTCTCCTCTTGAGATTTCAGGTACACACACACATACACATGCCCAGCATGTGTTCCATGTCACCTGGTCTGGGACTCAGCCATGTTAGATCCAGCCACTTTTGACTGGTCACTAAATCTATATTTTAAAAGACATTTTTTAACGTAATTCTTATAAATGGCTGGAGAAGAAAATGAAAGCTCAGTGAGACAGATGATGCATTCCTGAATAAGAAAAGAGGAAAAGGGATTGTAAAGTAGGAAAAGAGAAAGATTTTGGAGAATCATTAAAACTTCGCTTTTCACCGAACTTTAGTAGTGATGAAAGAAAGTCATCAAAGACAGCTTGAGGTTTCTAGCTTTGATGATCAAATAAATAAATATGCCTTAGCTTTAATTATTTTATCAGATCCTTTTGATTAAAATTGAGCTCAAGAGGAATGGATGTCACGAAAAACATTTTTACCCCCCATCTAGGTCACACTAGCAGAGAATGAATCAAGGGAACACAGTATAGTGGGTGATTCAAGAATACTTGTATCAAAGGTTGGGACCAGCAGGTAGCATGGTGGTTAAGGGCACTGGACTCCCACAGTGCCAACCGAGGTTCCAGTGCCAAACCTGGCAACTTGCTTTCTCACTTTCTCTTTTTCTCTTACTCACTCTGTCCCCCTCTGGTAAAATTAAAAAATAAGTACACAAATAAAATTTTAAAAAGAAAAAAAAAAAAGATGAAGGGTTAAATCAGCCTTGCTGCAGTAAAAAATATCACCAAAGTCTCACTGGCTTTCAACAAGAAGGATTTATTGTGTCTCTGCTTGGCTTCATCTAGCTTTGATCTACATGCTTCATTCCAGGATCTAGGCTGAAGAAGCAGCTTATATTAGGAGCAAGAGGGCTAGACAGATATTCAATGGATCTTCAAACTTCTGCTCAGAACAGCACACACAATGTCTGTTTCAGGGCTGCTTTCTAAGCCAACTCACATGAACATGTCTGGTGTCAATGCGTTAAGAAATTCCACATTGGCCTCTGCAGGTCACATGGTCACAGATAGAAAATATTATCCTCTTATAGAAAGAAATGGATACAAATGCAACCCCTTTTTTGCCTATAACCAACACTAGCTTTGGATTTTTTTTTTAATTCAACAGTTAAATATCTTCAGCACAAAATCTCTCATTAGCATGAGGCAAAATGGACAGATTTTAATTTCCTCTCTTAATGAGCACTTAAATGTTCTAAACTCTACAGGGGAGAGTAGAGAGAGAAGACAGGGTGTATGAGAAAAACCCATTACTAGGTAATCAGCCTCAGAGTAATCAAGAGTTGGCTGAATTCTCGCCTGACCGCTGCTAAATTTAGTACATGTCTTCAGAGAATGTGGAGCTGTTAGGCCACCCAGTTCCCATGTGCTCACACTATTCAACTTTTTAAATGCTCTGTTGATGGGAGATTGAAAGTACAAGTAGTATTTTAATTTTCTAAAAATCTTCAATATCAGAAATATGTCTATTTTTTGAGATATTTGCTATAGGGTATATGCACTCTCTGCAGAGACAGCGTGACAAAAAGAGATAAAAAAGCAAGAAATCACCCCTGGGGAAGAAAGGGGATGGCCATGCTGTAATCTGTTCTCCTCCATTCTCCTCTCAAGGTTTTGGCATGCATGATTTAAGTTATTGGGTCTGGGACTTGAACCACAGTAGATTTCACAGGAGTCCAGAAACGTAATCATTATGTCATCTTCTGGTCCCAAAATATTTATATCTTTAAAAAAATAAATGTAGTTAACCCATTGAGCCTAAAAATTATATTAAAATATCAAAACTTCCAAGTTGTCTTTTATCCATATCTAGTGCATTGATAATGTAAATCTAATTACACCAATCCATTCAATTAGACTTTCACCTAAAAGCAGTCCAATATTTTTTTTTATAAAATAATGGAGATGAATCTGGTGATTTGAAAAATGATATCTTCACCCTCCATTTAGGTTCACATCTGTTCTGTATCTTTCCAGGCCTGAAGGTTTTGCTTTTATAAAGCTATGGTCATGTACATCACATCTCTTTCATTTTTCAATTACTGTTCTTAACAGGAGAAGAGACTGATTCAATGAAGAATGAAATGAAAATGGAGACAGAGTCCCAGACCTCATATATGGAAACAGAAGGTACTGAAATGAGCATATACTGTTATCAGAGAACGAGATGAAAATCTGAAGCACGATTTTTATATAGATTTGTGGGCACGAGGGCTGTGTCTATGTTTCAGACAATGATTACTAGAGAATGGCAGCAGTATTCTGCTTCATGAGTCTGTTGAAACTTGGAGGAACAAAAAAAGAACATTAACTTTCCATTGTGTGCTCTAGTCCCTACGTTTTCTCAACACTTCCAACTAAGACATCTCTGAGTGTCCCTTTGGTCTCATTCTATTTAGAGCTTTCATCAAACCAAGAAGATGCCACGAGTGTGGAGCAACCAGAAGTGACTCCACTAACCGATGACCAAGAAGAAAAAGAAGGTGAAAAAGGTAGGACTGCTCTCACAATTACCTGTCAAGAATAGAGAGTTTCTTTGGATTGCTGCCTAGAACTCAACCATCAACATTATCATGCATTTGCAGTCTGTAAAGAGAGACCATGAACATTTCTTTAACCCTGAACTGCTTTTGAATGTGGAATAAAATCTAGCAGTAGCAAAAGATACTTGGAACACTTTTCTTTTTAAATAGTATGAAGATGTTTCTGTTATTTAGATTTAATTTACATTTTAAAAATTATACTATTGGAAAAGCCCATAAGAAATGAAAATTATAGACTAGAGGTATAAAGGTCATCAAAAATCTGAAATGACTTTAAACAAATAGTTGACCTTTCTCTATTGATTTCATTCTGTCTTCCTTCATATGATAGTGATTAAAGAAGCAATTTATGTAAAATATGCACATTATATGAGCCTTCTAAATTGCAAGCTTTGCCAATATTAGAACAGACACAATAACATCGAATGTTATTTTTAAATAAGTGATCATTATATTAATTTCTGAAGATATAAAAAGAATAAGCACTTTAAAGCGCCATTTGGGGCAAAGAGTCAGTATACTGGAGTAACGATAGAAGTCTTTTTTAAAAATCTTTTTAAAGAAAACTATTATATAAGGAATTTAATGTTTATTGAAGAATTTGAAGAATCCAATTTTCAAACATAAACAGCCATCTCTTAAAAGACGCTCATGGAATAATTCATTTGTTCCACTGTATCATAAATCATACCACTTTTAAATAAATATGCATTTGCAAAGCAGTTGCTTGGTAATAACTTGACAGGCCTTGTTTATAGAACATAGTGATCAATTTTGTTTCCAAATTAAAATGCAGACATGATCTCAATTGTAAAATCAGGTCAATAGCAACTACAGCTTCCAAATTATGAACTCTTCTTGGCAGGGGCATTGACACATTTTAATTGTTAAACCATGTTAGTGATTTTGACACTTATTTTTATTTCCACTGCATTTACAACACAATATTTTTTCACATCTATGCCCCTAGTAACCTTTTCTCTTTTGCAAATCCCTCTCAGACTCAGAATGCCATGTTCCTGACAAGTCAATAAAGGGTATATTTGGAGTATGTGTATTTCCCGATAATAAAGAGTTGATAACAGCCTTTATTCAGATTCAGATACAGGGTATTGTGCTCTTCAACCGCAGTTCTAAAATGTAACAAATACATTGCCATTCCTGGGAGTTTAATTTCTCTACACTAGGTTGTATCTCAGGAAATGCACATGGGTACAGGAACATTGAACTGGTACATGTTCCTCTTTTTAACTTGACCCATAAGAGAAAGCTCAGACTCAGCACACATTGACATGTTACCCTCCCCTTGCATTGGATACACCTCTAATTACTGGAGAATTAAATACCCACTTTTCTTCTCTTCCTTGCAGATATGCCAGTCCTCTTTTTTCTTTTCCTTTTAGGATTTTGCCATAGGAAACATGCACTCGCTAAAAAGGAAACAGATAGAGAGAGGGAAAGTGAGAAATCACTGACCAGGGTGATGGCCATGCCATAGTCCCTTCTCCATTCTCCTCTCGGGATTTTAGGCATGCACACACACACATACCTGGCATGAATTTCGAACCACCAGGTCCGGGACTCAAACTGCAGTTGGTCATGTGTGGGAATCCAGCCACCTTAACCACCATGCCACATGCTAGCCCTGCCAATCCTCTTCTAAACTGGTATAATGACATCTGGGAAAAAGACAAGGTCAAAATCTGTCAATTGCATGGAACTTTGAAATTGAATTTCTCATTAAAATTTGACTTTTCACTAAAAGCAATGCTGATGGACTTGCATGAACCTCACTTGCCTTTCCCATCTTTACCATAGATATTTAGTTTGGGCTTCTCTTGAATATTTATGGTGTTTGAAATATCTTTGAGTTCTTCATCTTTGTCATTGTTCTTTGCATCAAAAGTAGAGTTACAAGTTGTTCTATTATGTGCAAAAAAAAAGCACCCCCAAAAAAGGGGGCAATGTGATCTCTTGCTCTGCTCCACCCTGAACAACCTTAGGCAAGCTATTTAACCTGTCTGCTTTAGGTCTCTCATCTGTAAATGGTGATGACAAAAGTACTTGTCACATACAGACACGCTAAAAACTTAACAAGTAACACATGTAAAGCAATTGCAGCAATACCTGGCACATAAAAAGTGCTCTGTAATTATATAGTATTTGTCATAATCTGATAACTTGATGATAAAACCAAGAGAATCCACATTTAGTTTTCCAAACCAATTCAATGTCCTTTTTAACTATTTTGAGTCCAGAGAAACTTCACATATTCTATAATACATCAACAGATGGTTCTGCATATTTGATTGGCAGCACCATCTCTTGCAGACAGTTTTGAGATGGCTCTAACCTCTCCTCATTGCTGCATAGATTATCCTGTAAATATAGAACAAATGTAAGGTGGAGTGGGAGATATTTTCATTCATAACCGCCTTGTTATTTATTTATTTATTTATTTATTTATTTATTTTTTGGTCAAGAGCTCTATCTTCTGTTTTAGAAGTAATGAAAAACCATAATCTATTTTAAAAGAAAGTTGTCATGTAGCTATTAGTAGATCCCAAAAAAAATAAACAGTAAATATATTAGATTTTTTAAATTCACAAATTATGAAAGGGGCTCGTTTGAAAACATTTTGGGACTATACATATGGGTTTGGTGTAGATTCAAAAAGTTGTCTCATACTGGAAAGTTGTATGTATATATCAAGAATTATCTATAAAACAAATCAGCATTCTATTATATTTGTAGAAAAATTCTTCATAGCTTTAAAAATATTGCTTCTCTTCTATTATGAGCATTTTCTAAAAGAGAAAGTGACTCCTTTTAAAAAATTCCAGACCAGGAAAAATGTATAATCCTTTTTTCTCATTTTGTAGCATTTTATAAGATTAGAAAATGTAGATAATCTTCAGGACACATCCTCTATGGCTCCCAGGTGTATGGGCACAGATGTTGCAACATTAAGTTTTGAAGTTAGCTCTACCAAAATACGGATTTTGAAAAGCTGGGAAAATATTCAGCAGAAGTTCATGCTGATAAAATTACACAATAGCACAATGGACACGTCCCTGGGAGACCTGAAATACAAAAATTTCAACAGGCGTAAAGCGAGGTTTCACATATGGCTGCTTTTCTCATATAGTCACATTGCCTCTTTCTAAATGAGTCCAGTTTCATGCTTTTCCCAGCAGGACCTGCACCACATATAAAATCCAGTGTAATAACTTCATTTAGGTTAATAACAAAATAGAAAAGTGATATTTTAGAAGATCCCTAAAAAGGATTTCATATTTTAGTGTTAAGTCATAAACTAGTATTGTTGGAGCCTAATTTGTGCTAAAAAGGCCTTTTTTTTCACCTTTAACAATAGAAAAATCTTGGCTAATTGGACAAGTCATGACATACTTTTGTGTTTTTTTATGCAAAAATGTATCATGACTTTTCTGACACCCCAATATTTTTCTTTATAGTTAAATTTGGAAATATTTTACATAAAATCTTACCTATATCAACATCATATTATTTTTGTCATAAAATTTCCACTTGAGCTTTATCAAGAATATGTACTGTGGGGACCAGCAGTTACCATAATGGCTATGTCGCTGAACTCCCATGTAACTGACCACAGTTCGAGTCCCGGACCGGGTGGCTTAAACTTACACCGGGCGTGCGTACGTGCCCAAGATCCCGAGAGGAGAATGGAGGAGAAGGGATTGTGGCATGGTCATCCGCCCTGGGAGGTGATTTCTCGCTTTCTATCTCTCTGTCTCTCTGTCTTTCTGGCTAGCACACATGCCCTATAGCAAAAACCTCTCAAAAAAAAAAAAAAAAAAGAATATATACTGGACTTTTTTTAAATCAAGGGTTACTCAGAATGCGTACAATTGCCCTCAATTATATTTTTATATCAATTGATGAGTGTAAAGTAGTAATCCTGTATCAGTTAAGGTTGAACGATGTGTTGAGAGAAACTAAGGGAATAGTGTGGTATAAGGTTTTCTTGGAAAAGATGAACATAAACAGGCATGGGAGGAAAGTGTGAAGTGCAAGTCAGTGACAAGTGTAACTGTCATTTCCTCAGGCTCATGTTTTGGCGTCTGACCAGTATGATAGTGATACAAGTATATAGAGAGCCATCACTTCTAGTGTAGTCCTGTGATTCCTGGCAGTTCTTTAACTTTTAAGAATTTCAGTTTCAGGACCAGCAGATGGCATAGTGGTTACGTTCCTGGATGCCCATGTACTCTACCATGGTTCAAATCCCAGATTCTCCGGTGGCTTAAACACTGGGCACATGTGCATGCAATACCCAAGATCCCAAGAGGAGAATGGAGGAAAAGAGATTTCAGTGTGGCCATCCTCTCAGCCCCCCAGGGGGTGATTTTTTTGCCTTCTCTCTCTGTCTCTCTGGTGAGTGCATGCACTCTATAACAAAAATCTCTCTCTAAAAAAAAAAAAATCCGTTTCTAGGATATCAATGAGGGACATTAATTCAATAATGCAGTTACAAGGTTCTCCGCTTTTGTAAGTTTCCTCAGAAGCCCAACGCTGAAGAGTAATATTGTTGATGAAACAGGGTGATGGTGTGGGAGCCAATGGTCATCAAATTTGAAAGAGGAAATCTTAATCTTTTCTAAAATTTATTTATTATCTGTCACTAATAAAAATTCAGGAGCCCTGTCGATTAGGCAAAAAGATCAACCAACTTAACCATATTTTACATTAAGATTTAGCAATAGTTGGACAGCTCATTGTTCCCTGAAGAAATCGTAAAGGTGAAAAAATGCCTTTTAGCACAAATTAGGCTCAAACACACTGCTCAGAACAAGGTTGGCCTTCCATCACCATCTTTCTTGGTCTACATGGGAAACATCATTTCTTGCAGCTCCTCTGACTACCATTTCATCTTTCAGTAAATGAGCAGTACGTGAGCCGCTTTCTCT